GCGAAAGGGGAGCACTTTTATGAACTCCTTTTGGGTTTTTTAAATGGACATTATTAAAGCTAATAGCGGTTTTAAGGATGGAATCCTAAGAGCAGCTTGTAAAAATAAGAACTTCACTTTCATTACAGGCTCATATTTGGTTTATGCATAAATTCTTCCTAAAGTAAATTACAAACATTATAGCCTTTAATAAGGTCTTCATCTGTAATTTTACCCTGTATAGTTATAAAAAAGTTCAACATTTAAAGCCCTGATGAACAACTATAACTCCAGCAGTACACCACCTGCTTATCATTTAAATGTTGGCTGTGTTGCTGCTCCGTATTCCTTGTCGGGTTTCATCACATTTTGCAGTAGCTGGGATACTCAAATCCAGTTTACTTAAAATGTAAACATGCTGTCCCTGTTTCAGATTATTTACTATGCAGTGAGTGTTTGATAGGGAAAACAAAAGGCTGCCATTTCAACGAACATTAATCAACGGAAAGAATTTCAGGTCAAAGGTTCCTTAATATCTTCATTGTCCCGATTGCACTTTTCTTTTTTAACCTTCAAAATATTGGGCAAGCCCGAAGAGTAAAAAAAAGGATGAAGGAAATAAGAAAGAAAGAAAAAAATACTGGTAATGACCAGCTGTATATTCTCTTGTAAAGATATTAGAGTCTCAAAAGGCTGAGCTGGACATGTGGTGCTCAGATGGTAACTAACTGTGAGGTACAGGACATGTATAACCAGCTTGTTGTAGTTACATACATTAGCCATTGTTTAACTCACCATAAGACAAAAAGTTGTAAATTTACAGCTTCCTTTATGCAGCATCATCTGCTAAAACAATCAAAAACAGGGAGACATGTCCAGGTTATGAAGACTACATCCTGCACAATATGACTTATTACACAATAGTCCCCTAACATTTAAGTGATTGAACGATAAATGAAAACTCACCAGGCTCTTCAAATCACATTTAATGACTCTAGCAACTACACTTTTTAGAGTATTTAATTGTACACATTTAACTCTTCTTCTGTTTCAACCAGAACAGTGATGTTAAGATAATAGAATAAAATAAGGGATTCATTGGTGGGGTTTTTTCTTGGATTTAGAAAATACTTTCAATCTGTGAAAGATTTTGTTATTTCTTTAATGAAGAAAAAGGAAATGAGCCTGAGGTGTTAAACAGGATATAGAAGTGGGCTAAAGTCCCACTCTATCATCTCCACATGTGTGAAGAGCATGTCCAGTCCCAGCACTGTGGTATTTGTGTATGATGAATGCTGGAAATCTGTCAAAGTGAAGGCAAGATGAGACTGATGGTTATCACATGTCTGTCTTCAGGCTCAAAGCGGCTATTACAGAAAAATCTGGTGACGGGGAAAAGAACAAAGCAGGGGTTGAAACAATTACTTCTAACATTTATTTTGTTAAATATTCAGACTTTTTTTTAGGCCCTATTGGTTTTAATGTCCAGCTGCTAATGAAAAGGTCCTTTAATGATTATCAGCGGCACATTTAGAAAATACTGGACATTCCTTTTTTTTTTCATTCATTGACTAATTATGAATTGATATGAGTACTATTTAAAAACGTTTTGTTTTACTCGGATTATCAACATTATGTGGTCCAGTCCTGAGAGATATCTTCTCTTTATTCTTGATTTACTTGAAATAGGATCTAGCCCCCTCTGCAGGTCTTGAAAGCAGTCTACATATTTTACCTTTAAAGCTTCAATCAACATTTCATCTTAAACATACAACACATTACAATTACTGTGGTGGTGAAACCAAAAAACATAGAAGTGTGACCCCGTTCAATAATTTGCATGCAGAATATTGAATGGAGCAAAATTATAATTATATATTTTTTTGAAATTTTAGCTGTGGCTTAAAACACATTGATGTTTTGATAAGTGAATTTCAGCCTGTGTTAACTATGAGTGGTCAGTGAAGCTAAAAATTCATTCATTCATTTTGTATATTAAAGTGCTCACATCCTGAATTCTGATAAACACTTGAAAATAAAATATTGTCAGCATCTCTTGCTATTATATAAAGTGTTCAAGAAAGTTCAAAATATTATTCATTTTTCTATTCATTATTTCTTTCTTTTTTGTGTGATAAATTCACACAATATTTTGTAACAGGGAAGCAAATTAAATGGTTTGTATGGTTAGTGTTTATTACTGAATAACATATATAATGAGATGTTCACAAAGATCGGTGGGAAAAACAAGCAGATGGACATAACATGTACACAAAAGACTGTGAAAAGAACAAAATCAGTGTTAAGCTGTAAGTCCGCAAAAAATAAACAGAAAGGAGAAAAAAAATCTTAGCAGTTATGGTATAAGTAAGTTAAAAAAAAAATGGTAAAAATATAAAGTGACAGCCAAGAAAATGTACATTTGTGTTGGTGAAACAATATTTTTTCTATTTATTGATGCTTAGAGAGACTATAAGTAGGCCATGTACTATAGCTAGCGACACAAAATTTGTATTGCTGTCAGATATACTCAATTCAACAAATCATTAAAAAAAAGACCTAAAATTGGTCTTAAAAGAAAAAAAAAAAACAGCATATGTGTTTATGAATACATTTTTATCTAAGGTCATCAAATCAGATAATTAAGAATAAATTGTGAGATTCTAAAAATCCTATTAGCTAGCTAGTTTTTCAACATTCTCAAATTTGTATTCGGTCTCCCTGCAAATTTTGTAAGGTACAATAGAAACGTGTTTCTCATTAGAATAAATAGGTTGTGCTGCAGTTATGATGATGACCACAAGAGGGCAGTAAGACTTTAACGCTGAAGACTTCACCGAGGCCTATTTTATTTCCCCTAACGTCTCATTTGTGGCCTAATGCAAAATTCTTTGACATAAATATCTAAACTGCAAACAGCTAACTATTATTATTATGATTTCTATTATTATTTTAAACAGTTAATATTTTCTGTCTATTTGGTTCAGAGATTTAATTAATTATTTAGTTTTTTCAAATGTTTGCTTAATTTTGTCAAGCAAGTGCACAATTGTTTGTTTTGTTTGTTTAATTTTGTTCCTGTTTTGCCAAAATAGCTGCGGGAAAAGATGCCCTTGAGCTACATGATAGACAGATTTGCTTTATGACAATTATGACTGTTGCCATAAGGTTCTGCTTGGTACTTCTACTGTATATGGAAGTTTACTGAAACTTATTTAGGGTAAAAACTGAATACAACAGACACAGAGAATGAAAGGGAGGTGCAAAAGAAAGAGGGGATAAAAACTAAGAGGAGAGATAAAGAGATAGGGAAGAGAGCATATAAAGAGAGAGAATAAAACAAAAGAGCAAAAATAAACAACACAGAAGACAAACAGTAACTCCTAGAAGTCTGCTTCCACACCCGTATAAGACAAGAGGGACGGAAAACATAACAACAGCAAAAAGAGGACTACAGACAACAGATGTAATCATCAAAAAAGCTTCCTAAACAGCTGTTATCCCTTACACATCCATATGTGTGAAAGGCAGAACCTGTGTGTATCAATGAACACCTGTAACCAAATTTCCATGGTGTGTTTGAATGCACATGCTCATGTACAAAGGATTTACAAAGCTTCTTCAGAAGGAAAATGTGCTAAATAGCAGGTGTGGGCGGCCCCAGACTCATCCTACAGGGCCCAGGATCAATAAAGAGGCGCACCCTCCAGAGAGGGGCAGACAAGAGCACCTAGAGCCTGACCCCCAAATGGGCCCAATCCCTGAGGGGACTGACTCCAGAGGCCATAGTGTCACAGTCACACGAGGCCATGATAGGTTAGCAAGCAAGTGCATTGTGTAAGAATAATTATAACTTTTCCAGCGATAGCTGAACTTCACATCTATGTAATTTGTATTTTTAGTGTTTTGACCTCAAATGGTAAGTTTATTTCCTCTCAACTGTGGCTCAGACCTTTATTTTGAAAGTTCTATCTGTAAAAGATAATAATTTAATAGCAAGGCACCAGCAGCATCCTTTACAGTCCAGTTAGTGAAATTCCACCATCTTTATAAAAATTAATTGTTTAAAAGTGCATTTATGTGTATGCATTTGTTGTACATGTGTTTGCGTATGAGACAGAAATGTTGAATGGCAATTTTTCCCTTAAATAAATAAACTTTTCATAAATTCTGTTTGCACATTCCCCAATTTTTGAGTACAACTTACAGTAAGCCCACATACATTTTTCTAATGGAATTATGCATTCATTAAAGTCAATCTTCTTTAAAAACAGATAAAGAATAACACCATTATAGGACAACTAATTACAGAAGGCCAACCAGCATGTCTCACTCCTACAGGTCCAGTATTGTCATTGGCATTTACTGGAGTAAAGTTTGGCAGTTACAAGTTTTTCTGGCCAATAACGTCAATCATATTTTATTTAAAATGATGCACAGATTCTATTCAATAACCACTTTTATCATAGCTAATGTCAACCTCTTAATTTCCACTGTGTTTGGAAAATGTCTTATGTGGTTACAGTGATTTTTCAACAAGTTATATGTGTTTATTCTGCTCATTATCATATCAGAAATTTCTCATACATGGAGTTTTTAAATCACATGCCAAACTTTACAGAATCAACTCTATCTAAATTTATGTTATCTCTTTTAAAAGTAACTTTCCTTCTAAAAAAAAATGATATTTCATTATACTCCTGGCTTTTTTTAGTAGGTCATAATTAAGTTTAGTTATTTTTAATTTATTTTTTTTAATCGTCACACAACTTGATGTAAGGCCGCGTTCTGTTCTAGTAAATCTCAATAAAGTTTTTTTTTTTTGTTTGTTTTTTTTTTTTAAAGTGGCGATTAATGTAGGGTAATCTTTGCTGCCCTCTAGTGATCACAATTGTGAAAGTAATAGAATACAACTACTTCCCGTCTCAGGGCTTTCACAATAAAAGCCCTGAGACGCTAACAACTCTTGTATTGTTAATGGTCAGTTCCGTCATAGCAGTTTTGTTTCGAAGGGTCACGAGTATCTGTTGCGACATCAAAATATCACTTTTAACGGTTGGGAGTCGTCAAACAGCGGAACCTACCCGACCTTTACTTGAAATTAACTCTTTTTAATACCTGTAATACACGTTAAATAGAAATTATCTAACTGCTATTTGATATTTGACGCGCGACGGTAAGAATATTTGAATGCTTTTAAAGTCGCTCGGAAACATTAGCTTTAGGCGTCACGTTGACAGTTCAGTTAACAGTCAAAGCTTGTGTTATTGAGATGGTTTCTGTGCTGACAGGCTGGAATCCATGCGTAACAGCCGACCTTATTGATAGAGAGATGCTAGCTGTTTTGTGTAACCATCAGGATTAGTAATTTGATATGCTAATGATATGCAGACCAATACGTAATATATGTACGTAGATACATTTAAAGGTTTTATTTCAGATCTAGTTAAGTGATGTCAAGCTGTAACCCTTAAGTAAGCACATTTTCTTAAAGTGGGAGCTTTTCAGTTTTTTAATCAATAATTTCGGTTTGATCGATTATTTACGCTGCTTAAATGTCTGAATCTTCTTGTGCCAGGGGGAATGGAGAAAGCTAAACAAGATGCATTCGACAATGCCAGGCTCCAAGTGATCAAAGATGGCTATGAAAGAGCTTTTGAGTGCATCAACCAAGGACTGTCAGCAGATGAAGCTGGGGAAAAGTTGCAGGCTCTGGAGTTCTACAGAAAAGGTCGACAGCATCTCCTCAGGGGGATCAGTGTGCCTTCTCAGGGAGCAGAGTGTGTTGGTAATTCCTGGGAAGCGGCCAGACAGATGCAGCAGAAGATGCAGGAGACCCTGAACAACATCACCACACGCCTTGCTGTGCTGGAGACCAGCTCTGACCTCACATCTGCACCCACACAGAGTCCTGCCGCTGTCCATGTGCCTCTCTACCCACAGCTGAACACCGATGGAAAGCAAACCCCACCAGCCACAGGAGCAGTAGGAGGCATTGCTGCAAGCAACAGCCCAGCCGACCAGCCTCCAGCTTACTCCCCTCAGGCTGCTAATGGTCATGTCTCCATTTCTTATGGGACGGAGTCAGGGGAGATGTCGCTGGTCGGGGATGACTTTTACAGTCGTACTTCTACCTCCACATCTTCCACCCAGAGTATGGGTGAAGACGGGGAGGAGCTGCTCTACATCCCTAATGGTGTTCAGATATTCTTTGTCACACCTGATGGGCAAGTAAGCGCTCCATCCTACCCTGGTTACCTGCGTCTGGTGAAGTTTACCGGTGACCTCTCTGATAGGATGCCCAATAGGCCGCCAGCGTTTCTGCAGGTAGGATAGTAACACTCAGGTGATAAAACCTGTAATTATAGACCATCTTCATGAGTGTCTGATGCAATAGGTGCAAAACAAATCACAACTCTGCTGAGTCATTGTCTGATTTTCGTCTGTCTTCTGACCTTTCACCTTTTTCCTCTCATAATAGGAGGAGCTAAGTTTGTTAATGATCAGTATCCCATGTCCTGAGCCCAAAGTCATGTGAATGTCCTAATCCCATTGACTGATGTCATCCAGAACAGGATTAGACCTCTGTTGGTCCTACTCATTAACTGGGACCTGCTGCTTCTATGATAAAAAAAAAAACTTAATGCATTTTAGACAGTTCAGCTGCAATATAAATTTGCCCAAGCAAACTTATTTTAATTATAGTTTGATCAGCAGTTCAGGGCTGAATTGACTTTGAGTTTATCAATAGGATCAGCAGCACCTGGATCCATGGGGCCAACATAATTTGTTTTCTTGTTTAAAGGTTTCCGGGATCCACTAAATTGATTTGTAAATAACATGGAGGCTCTTTGTAAACAGCACAACCTGCAATAAAAAGAAACCAATAAACTGTGTGAACAAACCAATGAAGTTTGTCAAACTGAGATCAGATCCTGTCCTGTATGTTGGAAAAGTGAAGTTAAACTGTTTTTGCTCCCCCCCCCCCGCTGGGTCATGAGGCTCAAATTCTAGTCCTCACTGGGTAATTTCCCAGGTATTCTGCCCCACTTGATGACATCAGTGGTTCACATGAGTGAGAGTAATAATAAACCCTGTTTAACCTGGTATGTCCTGTAATCTTGTTAGACACGCAGCAGTCAGAAGACAGCAGTGTCTTCTGTTGGCCTTATTGTTTAGCTCCTCTATTTAAATAGTTTGATTTGAAGCCCTAAAAAAAAAATATATTTCCTTCTCCTTCAATGTAAATTTATTTAATCCATTAATTTTTGTATGCCATTAAAAGGTGTTTTCCTAACTGTCCTTTGTTTCCTGGCAGGTGTGTGACTGGCTCTATCCTCTCATGTCTGTGGACTCTCCGGCGCTGCTATGTAACACCGGGGTTTTCATGTTTCCGGACATGATGGCTCCAACTCCGGGTTACTACGTCGGGGTGGTGTTGTCCTCTGAGCTCCCTGCAGCAGACAGAGACTTGTTTAAAGACCTGTTATCCCAGATGACAGATCTTAGGGTTCAGGTTGGTGTTTCTGCATCAAAACAACACTTATTCAGTGTTTTTATTTTTCCACAAACCCTGTCCAAATCAGATGACGGTGCTTTTTTAGATGTCTATCATAGCAAGCCCTATTATTCTAAATCTGCTTCTCAGTGGTAAAATTTGTATGTTTTAGCAAATCCTGGACTTGGAGTGCTCTGCAGTGCAACAAGAATAAAAAAATAAAATCATCACTTTATTTATATCAACATTTCTCCTCTAATTTGAGCTTTACTTGCCATTGTTGATCCATAATACATCTTCTCTATCTAACTGGCCTCCTAACAACGCACTCCTCCAGATGGACTGGTCCTTGCAGAAGGATTTGTTGCAGTTGAACAAAAACAAACATTAAAACAGTTGGATCCCTTTTTTCCCTGGAATCTTACCAATAAAATTTTTTGTTTACTTGCCTTAGCCAATACTTTGTTAAATCACTTCTAACTATTTTTGGAGGTTGTCTAAACTAGTTTTACACACACACAGAGAAATTTTTGCTCATTTTTTTAATATAAAGTTCATCAGGTGGAATGGAGTGCTCTATAAAAGTAATAAAGGTTCCAGCTCTTTCTCATTTTGCTGCAGCTCAGGCTTGTATTTTTAGCATTGTATTCCTTTAAATCACCACCCGTGTCTTACATCTTTTGTAGTTTCTTATATGGATTCTTCCTGAATTGCCCTGGTTTTAACTCAACCTGCCTCCAATGGGCTCTCAGCTTTCCCATCTGTGCTCATGGAAAGCATTTCCAGAAGATGATGCTCCCACCACCATATTTCAAGGTTGGGATGGGTGTTCAGTGTATACAGATACCTGGGCTGAGTGTATCAGCCAATATCCAATAATAAGCTATAAAAATAAAGGGGTATCTTATTAAAAAAGATATTAAGCAATAAAAAGAAATAACAGTTCCACGTAAAGCGCACTGGTTTAGATCTCTGATATCAAATCACTAATATCTGATCCAGGTATCATATGGTTGCATTTCTAGTTCAGGGTAATGCCCAGTAATAGTATTGCACCACCGCATATAGTTTTTTCATGCAATTCATAACTCAAGAGTTGTGTCAAACCTTAAAATGCACTTTTTTTTAATTAGAAATTGGCATATTTCATAAAGTAATTCTTCCATAGCAGCCACCATGACAAACAAATTCTCTCTGAGAGGTGAATCCCTCTATCTTCCCCTGAGTAAGGAAGGGCTTACAGTCGCCTTCATGGCCACTCTGTGGCATACTGGTTAAGGGTTGAAGAGTGCTTTCATTAGATATCAGTATTTCCAAAATAATGGCAATAACATAGTATTATAGCTTTAAAAACTTCTTAACAGCTGTATCTCTGACCTGCTATGTTCTTCTGTCTTCGTGACGCCATTTGGTCCCTGATCTTCTCTAATAAACCCTTCAGACTTTCACTAAGAGCTGCATTAATACTCGGATGGAGTAACACACAGGTTAGACTATATTTACCAATGAGGTCACAGCTTCTGATGATAATTGGAGGCCCTGGGTCTTATTTAGGGGTATGGATTTAAAGGAATACAAATGCATGCCACACTTTGATTTTTAGGTGTAAAATTGAATACATGTTTTGTTTTACAGATATGCATTACTTGTTAGTTATCACATAAAGATATTGTACACCTGAAATCAATTAATATTTGGATTTTTCTAATAGTTTTTGCTGTATACAGGATAGGTAAACACTTCTGACTAAAGAGAATATCCAACTTTTTTTATCAATCATATAAATCTGGCATGAAGCTCCTGCTTCTACTTACTTCTGATCTGGCGTCCCTCCCTGTGTTACCTCTGCCTCAGCAATGTGGGGATTTGATGCAGGCAGGTGAGGAGATTTAATCAGGTATAATGCTCTTATCTGCAGCACTTTGAACAACCTCAGGGCCTCAGCTGAAAGACAAATGTCAGTTCCGTCCTGGTGGAGGGAACGATGCTGCTTCGGAGTAATGCCAGACCAGGTCACTTTCCATGAATGCAGCCAGGGTAGATGTCTTCTCTGATGGATGTTGTACCCTATCAGAGAGTAAGCTTTGTTCTTTCTATTTTTGCTTCAAGCAGAAGATTGGAGATTTTCAGCTCAAACTTTGCACGGCTTTCAAAAAAAAAAAACGGCAGTCTGTTCTGGGTAAACAGATGGCGCTTTGTGATGAGCCCAGAATGAGAAGCACTATTGTGTTTTTTTGTTTTGCCTCCAGCATGAACCGGAAGCCAGATTTTTGTCTTTCCAGTGAATCGGACTGGAAACTAATCTTAGTCGTTTGTTATATTTCAGTTGCTCACTAATTAATGTGCTTGTTTGGTCAGGACCCAGAGGAAGCTGCAGATGCAGTTAATCTCAGCCAGAAGGTTCCCATTTCTGCACCCGAAGAGACAGCGCCTGCCGCTGATCAGACGGCACCAGCAGAGAGCGAGGAGGAGAAAACTTTGCCTGAATGGAGTGAAAAAGTGGCAAGTGGGATCTTAACTGGTAAGGTTGGATGTGAACAACATCTAAATACTTTATTACTACTAAATTGCCCTTATCAGAAGTACATCTCTGCTATCTAAGCTCACCCCCTCTGATCTTATAGGTGCATCCTGGTTAAGCTGGGGGTTGGTCAAAGGTGCTGAGTACACTGGTAAGGCTATTCAAAAAGGAGCGTCTAAGCTCAGGGAACACATCACTCCAGAAGACAAACCCACTGACGTCAGCCCCACTGTAACCAAAAGCCTCCATGTGGCCAAGCAAGCGACAGGAGGAGCCGTTAAAGTCAGCCAATTTCTAGGTGAATAACACGTATTTGCTCAGCACCTTGTGCTGATCACGTGTGGCGAACCGCTAATTGAGTGGTTGCCTCTCTTTGCAGTGGATGGTGTGTGTACCGTAGCTGGGCACGTGGGTCGAGAGTTGGCTCCTCATGTGAAAAAACACGGGAGCAAGCTGATTCCCGAGTCCATGAAGAAAGACAAAGATGGCCGCTCAAACATCGATGGAGCGATGGTGGTGGCTGCCAGTGGAGTGCAAGGTGTGCTGAAGAGTTTTAGCTTTCATATAAAACTCTCCAAAAACATTTATTTTCCTTTATCTCAGACAAAATCTTGAATGTATTATGTAGTTGTTGTCTTGGTAACATACAGTCTAGCTATGCAGAGCGTTGCTAATGAGCTAATATTTGAGTTGGGTGTGTTGCAGCATTGTGGCTGTCATTTTTTAAACCAAATTTTAACTATAATAATCCCAATGGTTAATTAATTTGTGCCTGACCAAGATAGGTTTCTTTCTGCCTGAATTAGTGATTTACAAATACAAGAAAAGCGTCATTTAGAGTGCCAATATAAATTGTATATTTGACTAGGATTTGCGGCTGTGTGGCATGGTCTGGAATCTGCTGCTAAGGACATCACCACAAATGTTGCAGCAGAAACAGTCACCACCATTAAACACAAGTAAGTTTTGTTAGCTATGGTATTTGCTGCACCACTATCACAGCTTAATAGCATTTTCTCTTGGTATGCTGCAGATGACCTTTTCAACTGCAGAAGCAAAATCAAATATTCACTCACTTGTATTCCCCTTCAATTTACTTTACAGATATAGAGGTCAACAAAAGAACTTTGACACACCTAATGAGAAGGATCATTCTTCCTAACTATACACAGCTGCCTTGTTTCAAAACGAATTACTGAGAAATTTTGCTTTTTTCTCCTCCCAATGATTTTGGGTTTTGCAAAATCCACTCAGTCCTTTTCTGAATCACTTCACTTTCCTCCCTTTACCTTATAATAATTGGCTTCAAAAAGTTGCTTTCCTGATATCAGCCCAACTCTGTCCTCTTTTAAACTTTGAATTGGAGTTGAATGATCGTACGCTTAGAAATTAAGATAATCTGACATTTTTTTGGGGGGTTGTAAAGTTTGAGTACAAAATTTTATTTTGCTCTTTTTTTTCACCAAAAATGATTTTGTTTTTAATCTATGGTTATTTTTGCAGGATGAGATTTTCCAAAGCTAAGGATTTGCCTAATTTTATTTAACATTTATATTAAACTCCAAATTTAGTTGAATTGTTTTTCAGATTAATAATTTGCATGGGTCTAATTTATAGATATAGTAGAAATCCTGCATGGCATTTTGACAATCCTTTCACTTTACACTAATTAATTCTCTTACCTCTTGCTATGACCTCACCTGATCTGACTTTGCTGCCAGGTACGGCAGTGCGGCAGGACAGGCCACGGACCACGCTGTCAATTCTGCCATCAACGTCGGCATTACTGCCTTTAATATCGACAACCTTGGGATCAAAGCTGTGGTTAAAAGAACTGGAAAGCAAACGGCAAAGGCCATTTTGGAAGACTACAAGATTCAGGAAAAACCACAGAATGGCAAGGAAGTGGAAAAACTGACAAAATAGCTGCTGGTATCCTGCCTTATCTTCTCAACAATGCCTTAAAACTTATTTACTAATCAAAGAACTCTATATTTAATATTCATTATTTATAAGAACAGGCTCTATATTTTCTAGATAGCTACTT